AAAATGAATGTTTTTTTATATATTTAATATTAATTAGTTTAGGTAAGTTGTTAATTAACTAATTAAGTCATTCTAAGTGTTTAATTAGTATAAAATTATATAAACATCTCAAGTTAGAAAATTTATTGAGATTTTCATTAATATTTTTTTTTTTTCTTTCAATGATTTTACATCAAAAAGACAAACTGATTCCATTATTGTACAACTTTATTTTTTATTAAAAAAAACTAAGTTGGTCTATTTTTAAATTAAAACCTCAATCCCTTTTTATTTTTCTTATCATATTAAAAAGAGTGAGCTATAGAAAAAATGAATTCAGAATTGGGATCCATCACAGAACGTGCTCCATTAAAAACATAACCAACTCTACCAAAATAATAGCTAAGGCCAGCATTCTTAAAGACTGTTAATTTGAAAACAATACACACTAATAGAATGAACTCATTTCAAAATAGAATCTGGAGAGATAGGGCACTTTTAGTACTAATCTAAGTACTTCGCTTTATATCTCTTATAACTCGTAGTCCCTTTGCATCAAAATTCTCTTTAATAGATAGAAATATGTTTAGAATAATTGGGGATAAGGCAGCTGATTTTAATTATTACTTGCTCCATGATTATTTTAAATATATGGTAATATGTCAATCTAATTAAGAAACCCGAATAATCCTCTCGCGTTAAATATTTCTTATAATAGCATCTATATAAGATTTGTTACATGAAAGGATTCATGGATTATGTGACTAATTTGAGGCTCATCTTTGAACCAGAGTCAATATTACTGTTACTATGGAATATTCTTTAACTCATAAATATCAATTTAAACATACTGTATATAACAGTTAAATTTTCTTTTGATTTTGAAAACTACCCACCTGATAATTATGAATTTTGTGAAATTTATCTATTTAGAGTCCCCTATTTCTTATACTTAATAGACATAATTATTTAACTTAATACTTGCTATTATGAAGCAGGCTATCTAGTGAGAGATAGAAATAAGATTTGGTACAATTTTTACAAAAATAGTATTTTTCTACTTTTAAACATTTTAGATTTTTTTAATAATTTATTTATATTGGTACCTACCTCCATTTACTTTTTAGCCTTCTAAGATTCTCCACTTTATTTATTTATGCTTTTAAAATGTCTATCAATACCAGCAATAACTGAAGCTATCATAGACAGAGTAGAGCTTACAACAAATTATTGGATAATTTATGATTTAATACGTTTGATTTACGTAATACTTTATGAGTCACATATTTGTTGTTGCGGATTATTCTATGTTGGACTTTTAAATAAGGAATCATCTTGGTTATTGTAAAATGATTTAATTAATGAAACTTGGATTATAAAATATGTAATTATATATTTTATCATAGCTCAGTTCATTTTATTGGAGCATAATTACTATGACTACAATAGGCTATGGTGATATTACACCTTAGAATTTATTTGAGAAATCTTTTTTAATATTTATTGCAATTTTTTCATGTTGTACATTTGGTTATTCAATTAATTGTATTGGTTAAATAATTGGGTAATTATAATCAAAAAATCATTAAATTCGAGTTGATTTGAATGATTTAAAATAATATCTAAGAGTTAGGGGATACAATAATAAATTGTAGATAAAAATTCTTAGATTCTTTGAATATCTATGGAAGGATTAAAGAAATGAAAATCAATTAGATTTAAATAAATTTAATTAATAGTTACCATCTCATTTACATAGTGTAAGATAAATAATATTATAGGAAATGATGATAGATTTAAATATGAAGAGTATTTCGAAGATTCCTTTCTTTAAAGAAAATTTTAATGAGGATTTTATATCTGCTTTAGCATCTAAATTTATTGAAGAAAAGTTAGTTCCATTTAATACAATATTTTCAAAGAATGATCCTAGTAATTTTTTATACATTTTATGTGATGGTGAAATTGAATATTTTGTAGAAATTCCAGAGGGTTCTGCTACTATTTTAAGTATTTAGACTATAACTGGATAAGATGAAATATTTGGTTAATAAGAATTTCTCTTAGATTAAAACTATGAAATTAGTTGTAGATCAACAAAATCATCAAGAATATTAAAAATATCTAAAACTGATTTCAATATAATAGCCAAAAAATTTGGATATGTATTTTACATTATTAATTATAGGAAAAATATTGTTAATTAAAAGATTTAGTTAAATTCTCAGGTCGATTTGATGAATTTCATTTACATTGTGTTGGTTGTAATAAATCCACACATATGCTATATTAATGTCCAATGCTAACTGGTTTTCCTAATAAAACAAAGATAATCATTTAATATCGTAAGAATCAATTGCAAGAAAGAAAATTCCATACAAGAAATAATTTAAAAAGAAGATTATCATCACTTATTTTTGAGGCATAGATTTCTGATACAGTACTCTACTATCTATTGAAAGATCCTAAACTATCCTTATAAATTAGTTCTTAATATTATATTCAAACCTTAAAATAATAGTAGATATAAAAAGAGTTATCAAATAATAATCTTAATGGACATAAATAAATTTAAGATGAAATAAGATAAACAACAAGAAAGCCATCAATTTTAAATATTAAAGGAAGAAAGCAATCCTAATATATTAAAAGATTACCTGATTTTCTAAATGGTTAGTATATTAATTTTAAATCAATGCCTGAAGATAAAATTAAAAAAGGAGGAGAAAATGTTTCTAAAAATGTATCTGCATAACACTCAGAGACTCCTAGTCCTGAAAGAAAACAAAATACTAAAATGAAAACACAAGAGGAAATTAATATCTTTGAATAACATAGAATATCTGCAGATATTGCTAAGACTTTGTCTTTCAAATCCATGAATTAAACATCTTAAGATTAAGATTAATTAAATTCAGATACAGATAGTGTAAAGGAGAATTCATAATTATCATAATAGAATTCTTCTATGTCATAAACAAGTAGTGAATCTCCTTCAAAAAACTCAAAAGATGTTAGTCCTGGGATTGATTAAATCACACACTTTTATATGGGTACATACAAAGATATTTTTGAGAAATTTGACAAATTTTAAGATTTTTAAAATTACATGACACATATGAATTCTTCTAGAATTCTTGAACAACTCAATTAATTCAAAGAGACATAGAATTTTACTGATTTTATGAATGTTAACTTTGTGAGAAAGCGTAGATCAAAACGTAGTAAATTAGTAATAAAAATTGATTATTGAGATTATTATTAATTTATTTATGTACAGATTTAAACTCTGTCTAAGTTATTCACGTTTAGATTAATCTCTTTCGGCTTTTTTGAAAAAGTACAAAACAAATTAAAAGAATGTGATTCAAGTAGACAATAAATTATTGGAATTTGATAATAGCGCTTAAAGATAACCTAAACCAATCTAACCATAATTAACAATCCCTTAAGATGATAAATTAAAATAGAAATATCTTTTACAAAGAGTGAAAGTAATTGATCTCAATGAGAAGGACAATTACAGTCATTTCAATAGAGCATAATAATTGGCATTAGATAAATAAGTAAAGTAATTGGGAGAAGATTATAAAGTGGAAGCAGAAGTATTATAATTACAAAGCAAAGGAGAATTGTGTAATCATTCTAATTAATATTAAAAGTGATTGATGACACAAAATTACCAAAATAATTCTTGGCTACTCTTGATAAATAAAGAAAATAAGGTAAGAGAATGTTGAGAAGATTCTTTGTGAATGGAGAACATCGTTATGTGAAGGAAAATATCTATAAATTTAGAAATGTGGCTGAATGGAAGAAATATATGAGATTTAAGAAGCCTATGTTAATTGATTTAAAAATGGAATAATTTAAGAGATATCCAGGTACAGATTAAGGCAAATATCCTATTTAAGATAAACAAGGATTTACAAGTAAAAATATAATATCAAATTTATAGAGTGGTTTAGAGAAAATCATACTTAAAAAACAGTCAGAGCAATTGAATATTTAGTCAGAAAAGGTTATGGTAAATTACCTGAAGCATTTACTAATAAAAGAGGTCAAAAATCAAAGTCAAAAAGAGTTTTAGCTAAAATTGAATTAGAAGAGAGATTAGAAAGATTAAAGTAAGAAGTACATGAAGAGTCAAATTGGGAAACTGTAGCACCAGGACCAGCACTTTTTGTTTAAGAAACAATGATGGAATAATTATTAAAAAGGAATCCAATAAAAGATTTAGGTTTAAATACTCATATCAAAATTCAAACTCATATACCTGAAGGAGAAGTTTAACCTTTACCTGAAAAGTTTCCATTGGAAAAGACTGAATTAATTTATTATTTGGAAAGATGGTCATTTTTCAGATCATTTGGAGCATATGAATTATTGAAAGATTGTGTAACAGGTAAAGTGTAACAATAGGATAGTGTACCTGTTAAATCAGGATCCTTAAATACATATTACTAAACATTACCTAAACATATTAGAGACAATCCAAATGTTAAAAATGTATATAGAGGATTGGAATTTGCTAATAATTAAATGAGTTTGGCTGAAAAAGAAAACTCTTTGAATTATGCTGCAAGATTATCTTGTTAATTTGATGAATTAAATCAAGAAGTTTATGATTAAGGATCATCTGGATATAGACCTATGGTTTCAAGATTTGATGAAGAAAGATTAATGCAAGATTAAGAAAATGAACATGTTGATACTGCTATTGTATTTTCAATTTATTATCATTTTTTTAGAATCCTGATGTTGTTTTCAAATATTTAGAACAAAGAGCACACACTCCTAGACATGTTGCTAAGGATGATGTTCCTCTACCTGATTGGGCTGTAGATAAATCAGAGAGAGTAGATGATATACCAGTTGATTACTATATCAATGATGATGGATTTTGGGATGATTACATTAAAGCTAAAGAAGAAAAACACCTAAAAGATAGTCCAATAAATGGAGGAAAGAAATATTTTAGACATATTTGAAAGAGTATTTTTATAATAATAACATTATCTTATGTTTCTGTGGCCAGAAGGATATAATCGACAACCATAAAATCCACTTAAATAACTGATTGAGAAGACTGAAGGAGATATTCTGCTTTTGCTTGAAGCAGAGTTATTTGTAAAACAAGCAAGATTGGGAGACACATTAGCTGTAGAAACTCTGGTCTAAGGCACTGTTGGTTTGCTAGAAGTTATGTTTATGGACTATAAACATGTTTTAAGTGTACATTTTGAACAATTAACCAACTAATATACTATCATGTGGGAATTAATAGATCTCAAACTTGAGAAGGTATATGCTCAAATTCTGGTACTATTTCTATATTTTAAATTAGACTCATTGGGAATTAGTGTTCTAATTGCTAAATAATGAATAAACAGTAGAAATATAATGGTATTTTGCTTTGCGCATAATATAATTAGTAAGTTAAGAAAAGTCTACTCTCCTTGATAATCATTAGGATAAGTTAATTAAATTGTATCATCATCTTGAATACACTTATGTTGCTTAACTCATTATCGAAATGATGAGTACTAATATGAATTAATACTAACAGCAATTCATAAGTAAGGGTATTTAAGAATTCGATTAATTAACGGAATTGCAAGCTATAAATTTTACTTAAGTTATACATGAACTCTTTACAAAAGTCAAGAATAAAGACTTGATAGATTACATAATAACCAGTCAAATTTTAACTAAAATGTTTGAAGTTATATAATAAACGAATAAAATGTAAGTTTCGTTTATTTATACATTAGAGTTACCAAAAATGCTGCTCACATCATTTCTATAATTTCTAATTATTACTCTAGTGAATTATAAAATTTAGATTTAGAGGAAGAAGAGTCAGAACAGATTACTTCTTAGTTTCATTCAACAATGTTTTACCAAATTATCAAAACAAATTTACATTTAGTAAATAATATAATAAAAGATCATTGTGATAACAATAAAAAAATTAGTCAATTAATTATAAAATTAATAGAAGTAAATATTAAAAAAATATTCAATAGATTGTTGATAACTTAGTTAGAATTACAGATGTCTCTCTTTGGGAATGTATGCATTAAGCTGAAATAATGATTTCAATTATTAGATTATGCAATACATATCCAAAATCAGACATTCTATCGTCATAAATTGAAAGAATAATATTTTATATTTTTGAAAGAGCCTTAAATGATTATCATCCCTTTTGGGCATTTTAATTTATTAAGGTCTATCAAATATAAAATAATACTAATTCTATGTTTAATAGATAAGTTTTCTCTTTTGAATAAGAATTGAATACAAAAATCACTAAAGAGTTGGATTATATTACATATGATACTTAGATTTTAGAAATTAACTAAGAGTTATAATAATCTAAAATCTGGGGAAGAACCAAATGGGAATTGAAATAATAATAATTTGAATATTAAAAGAAATTGGGATCTTAAATGTAAATCAATGAGGAAGAAGCAAAATTGATAGAAAATTATGAAATAAAAAATAATGTTTAGGATATTAAAGAAGAAGTAGAAAATAAATTATAATAAAATCAAGAAGAATAAAATTAGAATCTTAATGGAATGAATGAAGACTTTAATAAATAAGATTTAATTAAAGATAATGAATCAGATTCATCAGATTCATCATCTTCTTCAAATGAAGAGAATCAAATTAAGAATGATAAACAATATATGACTGTTTCAGCCAATTTAGAATAGATAGCATTCCAAGATAGAAAAAATAAATTAAATTTGGAATAAATAGATAAAATTAGAAAGAAATCTATTTAATTTGAGAAAATTTCATTATAAATGAGTCAGGCTGGAAGAAGACTTTCTTTATAGGCAGGTCTTAATATTAAAGAACTTAGTCCAACTTATTTAGAATTTAAACTTGATTTAGAGAAAAAGGTTCTTCGTAATATAAATGACAATTCAATTTTAAAAGTAGATGAAATGGATTCTATTATCAATCAATGAATAGCTTTGTATCAATATTATCGTCAATTATATTCCATCCTCCAATTCCCCAATCATTATTAAGCGATTAATATGTTTTCGGTTTTGTTTTTTTATCATTATAAATTTAAGTCTTAAATAGGCTTGATAAAGATGCCTTTTAGACCACAGGACTTCTACACATAGCAGGTGCTGTCTCAATTCTTATTTTTTCTTCAGTTTTATGTCTTGATTGTTTGAATCCTGATTTCAAGCGAATATTTTTGAATGCTGGACATCTACTATGAATACGATCAGTTTAATAAGAAAATAATGGTTATGTAGGCAGAGTTTTAAGTGTGCAAATAGGTATCGAAGAATCTCTCTTTTTAAAGAATTTCTTAGGCTAAAATAATGATTTAATAAGTAAGGGGTTTTTTAATTGAATAGGTTATCTGATTCCATATTTAGATTATTGATTTTGTAAAAAAGAAGACGACTTTTTAAGAAAGATATCATGTTGTACTTTTCGAGTTTGATTAGGTTATAAACCAATAGTTTCTTTGTTTTATTGGCAATCAATTATTAATTCCTTATCCATTATATAATAAATTATGTTTATTTTAGTCTTATTTGGTTATAAACAATATAAGGTGTTCACTATTGATGTTCTAGGCAATACACTATTGGATTGTATATGGACTCAAGCCATAAAGGAAATCACTAAAGTAAATTTGATCTAAGATTTTGAAAATAGTTACTTACAGCTAAAGACGAATAACATTAGAAAGATTAAAAGACTGCTTAATAGAAAATATCATCAAATGAGAAAAGAATTTCAGCAATAAATCAATAATTATAAGAAGAAGGCTTACTTGAGGCACCAACAGGAAAGAAGGTTACAATATAAATAATTATATTTAGGATGACAAAAAAGGAGCTAAACCACCTCCTCAAAAGAAAGGAAAAGATGCTCCTCCAAGTAATCCTTTGGAAGCAGAGAAATTAGAATTGCAAAAGGATACTGAGAAGTAATAAGAGTATGTCACAAAATATACAGATAAATTGAATAAGATAAAAGTGGCATAGGAAAAATTCAAAGATCTAAATGAGAAATATCATAATGATTAATTAGTGATTGAATTATGTGATAAAACTGGAGAAAGAAAATTTGTGAAAACAAAATTAGATGGCATAGCTAATACCTTTTTAAGTGATAAAGGCACTTACATTTTAGCTTATTTGTAAGCCCCTGTCACACGTAAAATCTTATAAATAGAGTGATAGCTGATGAGGAAGAATAGTTAATGGCTTTAGAATTTGAAGGTTATTTGGCAAGGACTGTTGATGAAGATATAGGAGCAGTTGAAGAACCATTATTATAATTATAACCAAAAAAGGACGATAAGAAGAAGAAAGGGAAAAAGTGATTTATTTAAAATTTCATTTGATTATCATTAAGAATCTAGCTTTTTTTATGGTTATGTTAAAATTTCAATTTGTTAATATGTATTCTCTTCATTTATGAACATCAATACTTTATTTTAATATAATATAAAGATCTCTATTATATTTAACTTCTTTATTTACATTCAGATTTGTACTGTTGTTTCGATTAATTAATTATACATTTATATTAAATAAAAATATGTCTAAATTATATAAGAATGCATCCCAAAGCAATTTCTATCAATCCCAAACTGTTCCAAAATTTAGATCTCCAAATCCTGTTGGTCCATCATTACCTAAGTACAATGATTGGTTAGGATCTGAGGAAGGGAATACTTTATTAAATGCACTCAAAAAAGAAAATCATGCCTTGAAGGAACATGTATCTAAATCAAAAGTATTCTTAGAATAAAACAATAGAAGGATATTTAAAAAATGTGGTAAAGGTATTTGAATCATTGAATTTTGAAAATTCTAACTTAAGAAAAGAAATTGAATAAAGAACTGAAGATTTGCAACGGGTAATTGAATCTACAGCAACTAATCAAACATTAAATGAGTAAGATCTTAGACATTAAATATAATTGTATGAAGATGAACTTGGTGTACTTAATTAACATATTAGCAATATTAAAGGAGGAGATCAATTGTAAAAGTCTATTTTAGAAGAGAAGGAGAATTAACTTAAAAAATCAAAGGAATTGATTTAAAAATTAGAGTCAAATTTAAATAGTATGTATTAGAAAGAGAAAGATGTATCAAATGAGGCACAAACCAAAGACATAAAAATAAAAGAATTAACTGATAAATATAATGAATTGAATAAAAAATAGAAACCTTTAGAGGAAAAGGTTAGATAATTAAATTAGCAAAATGATAATTTGATTTAAAAAGTAAATTAATTGGAGAGTGCAAAAAAGAAATTAGAAGAGGATGAAGATACAAAATTTAAAGATTTATATACTCAAAATTATTCATAAAAAACTGATTTAGAACATCTACGTCATTTATGTAATCAATAAGAATTGTTAATAAAAGAATTAAGATCAGAATTAGGTTCTTTGAAATAAGAAAATTATCCATAATAAATAATTATATTAAAATAAGAGTTGAATTCTAATTAATAAGAATTAATTTTAGAATAAAAACGACATAGTAATGCATAATAGAGAGAGTAATCTTAAAATGAAAAACTTACATCTATTAAATTACAATTAGATGGATTATAAACTAAATATAATTTATTATTATCAGATTATGAAAATTTAAAATTAGAATATGATAATGATTTGGAGAAATTGAATTAAAAATAAAAATAAATGATTGAGAAATAAAAGTTAGCAAATTAATAATTGATTTCTGATCATAATTTAGAGATATCAAGATTAGAATTTAGGATTAAGGAATTAACATTGTAAATTGAATTATTATAAAAAGAGAATTAATAAAAGGATAAGTAATTATTAGAAATGAAATAATTATTATTAGATTTAGAAAACTTAAGGAGAGAATTGATTGAATAAAAAACTATTATTGTATAAAGAGATCATAAAATTGAAATATTAACATAATAATATAATGAATATTTGGAGAGTTCTAAAAAAAAATATTAAGATTTGGATGATAGATACAATAATTTATAAGAATTATTTAGAAAAGAGTAAGAAAAAAATGATACTCTTTTTAAATAAAATGAAAAGATGTAATGGTATAAAGAATAATTTGATGAAATGGAAGAAAAGATAAGAAATCTTAAATTAGTATAAGAAAATTACAAAATTGAAATAAATACTTATTAATCAAAAATTTCAAGATTAGAAATTGAAAATGAAGAAGTTAAATAATTACATAATACAAATGAATAAGAAATAGTTTAAATATAAGCATATGCTAGAAAATTAGAAAAATAAATTTAAGAGATTGAATTATTAAAATTAGAAAATAAAACTTTGAGAGAAACTAATTTTAGAGAAGCTATTGCATTTTAAACTACAACTTAAACTCATAATAGAAGATCTACTACTTCAAAATAGGATGAATAAGATTCAGGATCCAAAGAACCTACTAATATTTAAACAAGAGGATTTAATGTTACATCTAAGTATTTTTATATATTAGATTTTTTTTAGTAAAACTTTAACTACTTAACCTTCTCATTAATAATTGAAATAGTAATTACAAAAAACAAGCAATTAAAATTCAAATCATCTTTTACAAACTTATGATGTTTAGAATGATTTGGAGTATAGAAATTATCCATATAGAACATATTATAAAAATAAATGATCTAAATAAAAATAATAAAATATTTTAATTCACATTGTTCTGAACAAGAATAATTTCAATTTTATCCAATAAGGAATTTCAAATTATTATAAAGAATTATAAAATTCAATATAATTGCATTAAAATATTAAATGAGTGAAAATTAAGAAACTAATAGAGATAGAGAAATTAGAGAGTAAATGAAAAAGTAATATTTGGAAGAGGAAACTAAATTGTAATAGGGAATGGAAGAAGAAGAATCAGCATTAAGAGATTACTTTAAAAATATTTAAAAACCTCTTCCAAGTGATCCTACAATTATTCGTAAATAATAATACTTTATAGTAAGGCAGAAAAAGATATAATGAGAAAATGGCCACATATTAGGAGGTCATTAAAGATATTTCACTAAAAGAAATGGTCAAAACTATTTGGTAATACGAAGCAAGTACACCAGAAGAAAATGAAACATTATACGACTGCAAATAATTTTTTAAATGGAGATGTTATGAAGGAATGGGAGCATGCTTAGCAATGACAAGTCTTATTTCTTTTTTTAATCGTCGATATCTATCTTACACTGCTAAAGGGTTAGGAGTTTTTGTTGGTCTTGGTACTGGTTTTGCAATGGGTTTTCTGAGATCTACTTAATATACACTTTAAAGACTTGAAGAACTTGGTTAAGATTATTATCTTGGAAGATTAGCTATAAATGAGATTGAAGACTTCAGAATGGACAAGGTAATTAAGAAAAATATTTGAGTATTATTATATTAAAAATGGGAAATGGTACTTGTAAACAATAACCACCTTCTCTTGCTACAATCGATCTTATTGATCAAAAGCAACATCTTCCCAACTCCTAATAATAAAGTCCTACAAAGCCGAACATTGATTCTATTAATCCAACTATAGCTAAATCAGAGGACGAAGGACCTAACATAAGTATTGAAGTAGAGGAAGAAGGTTGTTCTATATGTAAAGTATCGTAAGCTGACTCACCTACTAAGGAGAGATCAAAAAAAAGGTAATCATATGAGGATTAATTCTTCCTTGATTTACTACATTAAGATAAAACCTTATTTAGAAGATCATCTTAAGGATAAAGCATTAGTCCTGTTAGAATTATAGCCACTTAACATAAAAAAAATAAAACATCATTTATTATAGAACATACGGAGTTAATTAAATTAAGATAAGAAGAAGTAGATGAAATTTCTAAGCCAAAATCAATTCTGAAATCCAGTAATCTTTCAGAAAAATCGTTCTCAAGTCAATCACAGAAAAAAGTAAAGTTTGGTTTGATTTATAAATAAATATGACTATATATTACAATATTTCAAAGTAGTTCAAATTATTTCAATAATGATTATTCATCATAATTTAATGATAGGTTACCAAGCATAGTCAAAGTTGGTTTGGTTGCTTCATCTCTTAATTCTTTAAATGGATCATCTCTTTAAGATATAATTCCTTTATTTGATTTTGAATGATTTAAATTCTGTTAGACCTGGTATACTTTGGATCCCTAAAATTAAGATTTTACAATTTGAGTTTAAAATATAGGATTTTATGATTATTAATTAATTTATTAAGATTTTTTTTATTCTTCTTAAAGAATTTCTTATGGATCACCAAAATGTCCTAATAACATAAATAAAGCTTTAGATTCTGTTTTTAAATTCTATTCAATAGTAATTATTCAAAATACCTATTAGATCTCTAAATAGAAATGAGCAATTACAGGTTTGATCAATTCATTTAATTCAAAGGATCTAAGATTAATAATGAATTTAATTAAAGATATTATTTAAGATCTAAATTATTATCTTTTTATATTTTCATCTGGATTTCTATTCAAAATGGATTTAGGATTATTTTTTAGATGTTCTTAATAGTTGCCATAATATTCAGATATTGCAATTTTGACAAGATTAAATGTGAATTCTTGAACTGGATTTGATTTAATAAATCGTGTTAACAATAATTAAATCTATTAAAAAGCCAATTAATAAAACATTATAGAACTTAAATATAACTTACTTAACATATCAAGCATTAAAATAGCCACATTAACATCAATTTTTGGATGTGTACAAACAGATTTTAATAATTGAAAGTCAACTATGTTAATTTATATTTCATTTTATTCAATTTATAGTTATTTCACCATAGGAATAATTAAAATATCAATTGGTATTGTTGAATATTTTTTAATTAACATTAGAAAATTGGCTACCAAAAATTCTCTCACTTCTTTTTAATCAAAGTTTTCAATTAAAGAAAATACTAATTTCTTATATAACAAAGCTGCATATTTATCCTTTTACAAAGCCAAATTATCTAAAATTCTAAATAAACTTTGATAAGTAAATATTCTCATTGCAAAACTAGATTCTCTGGTTGCTTTCCTTGAATTTAATAAGTATTATTCCATTTGATTGATTACAAATTATTATGGATAGAATACCCAATAATGCTCAAAATATTTGAGAGCTGTCATTCTCTCCATAGTAGTATGTTAAGGTTCAAATAATTTAACAGCATATGAAGCAAATAATTCAAAAAGATTTAATTCTTACATCTGATCTCTAATCTGTATTGTTTATATTATTCCATTTATAAAATCTATATACTCTTTACCAGATTTCAATATTTTTCTTAATTGCACATCAAAGAAGTCAAATACATTATATTAAGAAACTACACTATATATTTTACAGACTTATTCCAAATATTGATGATACCTTTATTATGATAATATCAATACTATTAAACCTCCATGTTCTCTTATTAACCAAGCATACACATCTTCCAATAATTCCTTTTAAGGAAGATTTATCACAATTCCTTCAATTATATATAAAGTCCAATAACATACTTCTGCATTTTATGAAACTAAACCAGCTTTAAGTAGAGACAACAAAATATCAATTTTGTAGGTTACAAATTTAATTATATGATTAATATGTTTAGATAATTCCATTAACCAATTTATTACACTTTTAAAGCCTTTGTTTCCTTTAATCAGGATATTTGATAATTATTTATAATTTTAATTAAGTAAACCTACTGCTTATTTAGGTTTTATGTTAAAGTGTTTACAAAGAGAAACTATTATGAATTCTAAAAGGGACTATGTTTAATTAAGAGGTTTTTCAGAGTCAATTTCATCAATACCAATTTCTTAAGGCTCATTTTATTGAGAATTGAATCTAGTTGTTGTACTCACTTATTCTTCTACATAAAATGCCATATCATAATGTTATTTTAATTCTTTCAAAAATTGCATTAACATCTAAGAATCTCCTTTGACAATTGAAACTACTGATATGGATAATAGGTACTTTTTATATCATCATCTAATGTTATGTTAATCTATTGTAAACTCTTACATATATTATTCCAATTAAACAATCGTATTCCATTACTATTACCTTACTTAACATCTACATCTATCTTCTAATCAAATTATTTAAGGACTTGACTAACTATTATTCCATTAAGAAATTGTTCTTCTAATATCTAATCAACATGAGCAAATAAATTGTTGATTGGTAATTCTTATATCACATTTATTTTGACAAGCCAATAATACATATCCAGATCAAGTTTCATATTGACAAAATAATTTATTAATTATAGTATATTATTTCATTCTTTCAATCCTATATTATTAATATTTTAGTTTCAAGAATAGAATATCATATGTTTATATTTAAATATTTCCTATTCTTATAAGACCAATACTAAAAATTAAACAAATTTATATAATAAATTAATATATCATTTTTTAATTTCTATTTCATTTAATCTATAAATGAACAATTTTTTAACATTATATCCTTTTTTATAATATAATTCTAAAATTTTGTTACAAAATATTTGATTCCTTAATTAGAAAATTAAAGGTATTAATTGATAAAAGTTTTATTTGAATTATCTTCTTAAATTAATTAACATTAATCATAAAAATAATGATAAGAAAGTAAAATTATTTTGTTAATATCAACAATTTTTTAATTATTAATCCTTAAAATTCAAAAATTTTAATTTAATTCAGTCAATAATTGTTGTTGCTTATGAAAAGAGAGTTATTTAACAAACTTAATTTTCTCATATATTTAGATATTGGAATGACTAATAGTTTGAATTCTGATTTCTAACATTAGTTATAATAATCTTATACTCATGATAATAATTATTAAAATATTTCATGTTTCATATGTTTTTCAGATATTTTGGCTATCTTTTTACATATATTCAGGATTCTAGGTTCTTCAAAATGGTTCTATTAAATTGTAGATATTAATTAAATCTAGAATATTAAACAAATTGATACATTGAATCTCAAACATTCAACTTCATATTGGCTATCCTTTTAAAATGAATCAAAAGATTTAAAAATAAAGTAATACAATTTAATAAGTTATCTTTATTGTCTTTTAATTTTATAAGTCATATAATAATATTTGAAGAATGTGAATGGAAGTGTTATATCTTCAAAGAGTGTTCTAACTTTGTTTTTTTCATTTAATAACTTTGATATTTAAGTAAAATTATTCTAAATTTCTTGGACATATTATTTTAATTTTTCATAATAATAAGATTACATTATATCAGCAATCGTTGGTGGCTAACAACCTTCTAATCTAAACAAAACTTTTTAATTGAACACCTTATTATCATTCTTTAATGAATTAATATAATTAATTGATGCAATTTCTTATTATTGATTATTTTATAAGCATAATGGATATATAAAAAGAGGCAATTAATCAGCTTTTCTTGATAGATTGAAAACATAATATTTCTTAAATATAATAATCATTCCTTCTGAAAATTATAGTATTAAATCAAGAATGCCAGCTAACAATATCTTCCTTGTTGTAATTCTTTATTATTGATAAAAACAGTCAATTAAAAAGATGAATAAATACACAGGTATCAAAAAATAAAGGAAACTAATAATTCTTTTGCTAAATGTAGTTGGTTTGATTGCAATAAATAAAGCGTATATAAAATATTGACTATATGATAATAGAACTTAATTTTAATTTGGAGGTGAGACTGGTAATTATCTTATGAATTTATATCCATTATACACTACATAGCAAATGGTAAAAATATTGTTGAGTAAACCACCTCCCCAAAGTTGATTGCAGAGAAGGAATTAAAGTATTAGAATGACAAAAAAATAAGCTAAGGCTTTATCAGAGTTTTCTATTTGATTAATGATTATAAAGTACTTGAAAAATAGAACACATGTAATCCTAAGACATGAAATCCATTCACTAACATTACTAAACATATAAAAGTTTTGCCTATATAATTTAAATAATATGCGGCATAGCCAATAATCAGAATTAATAGTGTTGTAAAGAGAATAGTCACAAACATTTATGTGAAAGATTCTCTACCTTCAAATAATTATGTAAATTCTAATCGATTAACGCGGTTTTAAAAATAAAATTTAACTTAATTGACTAAAGGAGATTCTAATTGTTAAGGAGCCTTATTTGGATTTAAAATTTTGATTGGGTTTTCAGGTTTAGTGAAATCTTGAAATTGCTATTATTACATAAAGTAATTCGTCATTCTTTCTTTTCTTCTTTATATATCATATGTTAGTCTATTTTAGTTCATTAATTTAATAATTTAATTAGTATAAGCAATTAATATAAAGTATTATTAGAATTGGATATGCATTTACAAAATTGTGGTTTTAATTAGATATAGAAATAAAAATGATAATCAAATAATATACAACTTAAAAAGGTGATTACATTAAATTTTGAGTAACCTCTTCAAAAATTAAAAACTATATTAGAAATGACAGAAAATATATGTAATTTAACGCAAGATGAGTTGTTTTGATTTAAGTTATCATATCATTGAAAGAAATTTATAATATCATAGCATTGTGCTATTATATAAACTTTTAAATAGCTAAGATGGCATTTTTAATCAAAAATCTACTTCCTCTTTAAATGACAACATATTATTCTGGTATTGTAAGGAAAAGAGGCAGCTTAAAGGGTTTTGATGCTATTGCCAGATTACTGATTGGAGTAATTAAAAGATATTGCAGCGAAGTATTCTAAACTATTAAATCCAGGAGACGTTGATACAAAGTAGAAGATTAAATTAAAATATGCTGAATTCTGAAATTGAGTTGTCAAAATACAACACTGATACTTCTTTTAGAAATTACAAAGATACAGTTATCAAATAAAGTATATGGATTTTTAAAGGTTATTTTTTGAATGAAATATATGAATATTAGAATGATGTAATTAATGGAGGATCAAAGAAAAATATCAAATTTATTGATAAGATTCAATAAGATATATCAAGTAATTGAGATATTGATATAAGTTAATTAATATTTATTAATTTATCAAACTTTATTAATCATAGTTTATATCGTGAATTCTACTAAGTTAAAGGTCTTATCAAAACATTTGGATGAGATCCAGATTTACCAGAGATTATTCTTTTTGATTAATTTAATTTTTTGACTTCTTGTAAATAAAGTTATTTATATTCATCTCTTTCTTTGATCAAAGTGTTGAAATCATTATTTGATTGCAGAATCTCTAATTAAATTACTCTTTTCTATAATTCTTTTTCCCTAGCTAAAGCTGAGATTAATTCATCTCTTATCATGCTTGCAAACTACCTTAAAGTAGGTTCTTGCATTTCTAAGAGATTCATTTTGATATTGCTATGTTCCAAAAACTATGATATTTATAAAGGCTTTAAGTTTATTTTCTCTTTGAATTCATATTCTTTAGTATTCTTTAAACTTTTTGAATCTAGATATTTAAACAGACTTAAAAATTAAGATAAAAATATACTTTTTAAATTTGTTTCTTGTAGGAATATGAGGTTTATCCATTGCTGGAATATTAAATGATCTTATTCCTGAACTATATGCTCCATTTTCTATTTTCTCTATAACTCTAAAGGCCTTCATGACTATATCATATAATTCAAATAACTCTGTTTTCATATCTTTAATTTACATTCTATAACATTTATAAAAAAACGAATTACTTCTTTTTTTCTTAATATTTTTTGAATTAATGAATAAAGTGATCTATTTCTTCATTTTTCTTTTTTAAATATTTTTCATATTAATCTGTACTATCTTATAAAAACTTTGAATACTCTGCTTTTAAATTGTCCATTTATTATTTATACCTTATTTATATTAATAAATCTTACTCTTTTTCTAATTCAAATTTTGCCATTCTTTTAATATCTTCATGTTTTTAAACTTCTTAAGTTTTTGCTTAAATAGCTTAAGGTAAATTTATAATAACATTAACTTTCTTTTCAATCACTTCTTAATGTTCTTTTAATTTTTTTTTCACTGTTTCTAATACCTTATCATTTTTTTCTTATTCAATTTATTCTAATTATTATTTGTATTCTGCCTACTATTCTCTTAATTTCTTGATTTCTTCAGTTAATTGAATATTCCTGCATTATAATCTTTCTAATTTGTTATTCTCTTCCTTTTTCATCCATTCCTTCTCTTTCTAAATTTTATCAATCATTTAATCTGCTTCTTTTAAATAATTCTAAAGAGTCTCTACTTTCTACATAGCATCCTTCTAAATTTTATATTTCTATAATTCTTGAGCACCTCCATGAATAAAGAGTTTTTCTAAATCTACATCAATTCCTAATAAGTTTTAGATTTCTGATAATTTTGTTCTATGTTCTTTTTATATAAAATCTATCTTTGATTTCAATTCAGTATTTTCATCTTACAATTTCTTAATCAATTTATCTTAACCAGGAAATGGACCTGGTTAATTAGGATTATCATCAATAGGTTAAGCTGCTGCTACTCCTTTAGTCCTTTCTGCATATTATAAAGCTGATAAACATTCTTCAAAATTATTTTCATTTGGATTAATATGTACAATTAAAGCCACTTAACTTTAACTATTTAAACAATTTTATAAAATTCTTGTTAATTTTGAGTCTCTATATGGAATATTTTTAGAATTCATTTAAGATATTGCAGTCAAACATTTAGATAAGGCAGTTAGACTTTAATTAATTAAAATAGCCTCCTAGAATTATCCTTCTTATGTTAAACTTTTTGCTATTCTTTCAGATCCTGCCAAGTCGACAAACTATATGAATGCATTCATAAATTATTAGTTCCCATTTTCCTTATCTTTTTATACTAAATTCAAAGTGATAATAGTATGACACTTCGATCCAAATTGTTTACTTTACTGTTCTAATTTCTCTCTTAATTAAAATCCAATTTATATCATATCTGTCAATTCTTAAGCTGAACTTATAGATATTTAAGTAAGATCTTTAATCATTATCTATCCATTTGAATTTTCATATATAGTGAGATTTTCATTCTCGTAATTCTAAAGTATTTGATTCGTATTAACCTATTAACGGGATTTATATGCCTTACCCAAATCTCTCACTTAATCCAAAAATAATTCAGCCATGCTAGCAGTTATTACAAATTCTCGAATCTCTTCAAATTCTTATGATTTAGATAGAAGATATTCCATAGCTCTAGTTATAATACCCTTTTTATCTGGATTGTTTTCTTCACCTTCTTAACCAAATAATGTATAACTCTTCCCACTTCCAGTTTATCCATAACTTAAAACACAAGAATTGTGACCTTCAATTAATTTTTATAACATAGGTTCAGTTACTTTAAAGGCATGTTCTTATGTTGAGCAAACTGAAGAAAAAGAAACAATCTTGCTTTCTGCATTTTTATTAGTTGGATCCTTAAATAAATTATTATTCTAATACTCTTATTGATACACTTTCATTAGTAAAGTCAACCATCTTCTATTAATAATCAATTGGCCTCACTCTGGCAAATATTTTATAGTTTTGATTGCCATTAGTTATTCTATTTTGCATTTTCTTATAATTATTTATTTAAATAATGTCTAAATATCATATGGAAGGATTAAATATACTTAAAGTGGCTCTTGTGGAACTAAAATCAATTAAATATACTTAATTTACTAGAAACAAAATTCGTACAATTCTTGCCTTAAAAAATAATTAGACTCTATAATAATAAGACACTTTGAAATTTAGAAATGAATGCTTTGCGTATTATAGTTTGATGAAATAAGAATTATATCAAAAAGACTTAACCATAACTACAGCAGAGCACTTAAAGAAAACTATGAAAAATAATTATTGGGTAAAATGATAAACAACTTAAATATACACCAATAATATATTTTATATTTAATGCTCTTTCAAAGATCATCCCATTTTGAAGTTAATTCTTCCTATTCTAAAGGAGTATTTTCCCTTGATTTTCTATATTGTTTAGCATGTCTCAATCTGAACATTATAATCTTAAACAATTACCTTCTAACAACAGAAGAACATGGTCTTGCTCCATGATTAGCTTTTTTAGGTGCTCTAGCATTTCTATTCATTTGAAGGATAGTTTCATCAAATAATAAGGGAATTCTTGTGATAAAGTCCATAAAGAAGCTTCTAGTTAATAATTTTGTTTACATATTAAAATAATGAATATAAATCACTTTTCATTTTATAAAAGTATAAATAATTAAGAACTTACTTATTATTTAAATAAAGAGTTAAATAATTCAAAAAGCTAAATTGCTTCAACTTAATGTTTAATTTATATTAATGAACTTATTTTTCATCTTCTATTGTTTAATGACTCTAAGTTAAATTCTTCTTTGAAATTGATAGAAAGAAAAACAAAGCAAATAATAATTTATTAGTAGAAAATATCACACTTACCATTTATAGATTTATTATAATATAAAATAAAATATATAATGAGTTTTTGAATAATTTATTATTTCCTTTTTTTCAAAAATAACTTAAAATAATGAATTTTTCTAAAAAAGATATCAAAGCATAATCTAAGTACTACAATATAAAATTGATTTAAAATATGAAAAAAGATAATTTGATTAACGTTTCGCCAAATTTAGACAGGCTTTTAATTTGTAACTTAAAAGATTATAGTTTATGAAAATACTCAAAACGTAACCAATAAATTGATGTAGAACTCTAAATCATTTCATGAAATTATTCACTCAAATTTAGGCGGCATATATTTATTTATATCGTTTTTAATTTGAAGTCTTAGTTTTATAAGCAATTTTTCAATACAATTTAAGGTAATTTTGAACCTATAAAAACTAAGTATATTTCTCAAAAATTAGTAAAATAATTTAGATTTCATTAATATTTGGCTATTCTAAAATGAATTTTTTTAATAAAATATTTTTCCAAAATTAACTTATCAATCAATATCTACATTAAAATGAATTCGAATAATGAAAGCAATGGATCTGAAAAATAAGTAGTTAGTAGAGTTGAGATCTAGGAAGAACCTACAACTGTAGTTTGGAATGGCTAGTGTAATAATGAAATTTAGATTTTGGTTAATAAATCATTAGGAGATACTATGTCATACTAGGATGTTTTGAAATATAAGAGCACCCTGGCAAAAAAGATCTTAAGATAGTGAATCTGATTAATGAGTATTACATTCAATAATCACAAATCGTTATATACAAAGTAGCTCATTTATATATTTATTGTGAATTATAAATTATAGATTTTCTTATGGATATTTGATCGGTAGATTCAATATCTATATTATGAAGATTTAATTAAAGGACTTGATGAGTGAAAAAGGAAGATTAAATTAAGATGGTTTTAAATTTAGAAAATGAGATATTAATAAAATATTGATTTATATAATAACTAATTTATTAAATAAAGAGTGATATATAAAATATATTATGTTATAATAATAATATATATTATAAATGCTAATACTACTTACATCACTAATTTCAATTATCAAATGTGGATCAATCCTAAGACCAACAGGAGTTACACCAATTTGGAATTCTGTAGCCAATGCCGATGTTTAGGCCTAATACATTTTTAGTTATGTTTTGGAAACATATTTGGCATCCTATTCCCAAATAGAAGTTTAGTTTCCTTTACAATATTTATCTGGATTGGGAACCACATAAAGTGAGCTAGTGTGCATACCGAGTTGCGTAGTTTCAGGGAGATCAGTTATCTTCACATACTCAGAGGAGATGAAGAATGGGACTAGTAAGAAAGTGGCATGCTAATAGTCTACACGGCATCGGTGTAACCAATAAGGAATCCAGCCACATAAGGTGGGACAGCTAATTTCATTTTACGTAGTAAGAGAGGAGATAATGTGATTGATGAGAATTTGATTTTTGGTATCATAGGTATTGCAGATGCCATTAATACAATGGTGTTTGGTGAAGTTGTTGTAAATCCAACTGGTTCCTTTTATGCAGGAGTAACAATTTAATATATAATATTAAGGATTATACTTAATACATTTTGAAATTCAAGACAACAACTACTATCATCTATAATTCCTATATGTTATTTACAGTTCCCACTGATTTTGAATTGGAACCATTTCCAGTTTGTAGTGCTTATCCAATCAATGGAATACAATTAGATGGCACTTTGTTTTGTTCATAAGTAAATCAAACTAATGTAGTCAAAATAGAAGGGATCACTGGATAAGTTATAGGATTATAAGATTATGCACTTAAAATTTCTATGAGAAATCCTAAATATGCTGGAACAACAAAAACATTCAATTTAGGAATCTATAAAGCAAATACTCAGATGATGTTTGAAGAAGTCAAAGGAATCAGTGGAGTTACTATATAGGCTGCTTAATTATAAAATGTGTCTATGACTTAAGTTTAGAATTTTATCAATTCCAGATCTAGAATAATGGATTATGAAGTAAGGTTTACTCCTACATTTCCTATTCCTGCAGGATGCAATATCAAATTGATTTTCCCTGTTTATATGTAAATTGTATAACCTGGAGATTATAATTAAGCAGGACAATTTCAAATGAATTATGTCAAATATGGATTAGAAGATATTAGTGAAGATAGTCCTATAGGTTTCTTTTATTAGGATTCTATTCAAAATTATTTAAGAATTACTAATTTTTAAGAGATGACAATGAATAATGAAATTTGCGTTGTTGTTAGAGTTATCAATCCAAGTGTAGAAGGTTATACAACTCCACTCAAACTTTATGTATTTTAAGATATCACAGAGTATCAATTATTATAATCAGATGTTTTGTATGCAATAGCAGATGTGGCAACAGTTAGTGCAGGTAATTAAAATGTTCCAACTACGAATACAAATAATTGGTTTTTAAAACCTAGAACTGGGTTCTTTCCAAATTATTAAGATTATTCAATAACAAATAATTATGCAAATGGAGCACTAGCAACATTAACATTGAACATAGATCCATCTGCTACTGTTCCTAAATTTGCTTTCGTTTATATTACTGTTCCAAATGAATTTAAAGTAAATAATGATACAATAACTGGAGTTAATGCTGCTAATTGTAAATTTTATTTATAATAAAATTCCCCAACATTAAATGGTTTTGTTTCACCTACTAATTCTTTATCATGTACAGCTACTGATTAGGTTATTAAGGCTAAGTTACCCTTTGCATTTGATGTCATATAATATCCTTCTTAAGCATTACCAGCTGCACCTTTAAGAAACTAATGGTAAATTCAATTAACTAATGCATTCTATACTCCATCATTAAATGGAACATACTTTTTTGATGTTACTATTAAAGATACAGATGATCTTACTGTGTTAGATTCCTTTTCATATCCAGTTTAAATAAATGCAAATTTATTAACAGGTAGTATAGTAAATTCAATTCCAAAAAACTCAAAAGAGAAAGCAATTGTGGATATATAATTTATAACAGTTCTTTAAATACCATCAGGATAGAAATAGAATAGAGCTTCAGATACCAGAGGGTTTCTTGAATTTCACTTTAGTAATGCTTGGGCTTAAGATTTAGGTTCAGGAGTAAGTAATGGTGGATCAATCCCTTGTTATGGTGTTAATGCTTTAATACCATACGAGGGTAGTGAATTAAAATGTATTTTATTTCATTCAACTGCTACATCAAAAACAATAGTAAGAGTGTCAAATTTTAGATATATATCTACTAATACTAATGTTAGAATAATGATTTCAGGTGTAACTAATCCCACTGCAGCCAGTTATGATATAGATATCAAAGTATTCTAGAAGAAGAATAGAATATTTACTTTATTAAATTAATAATTAACAGTTACCAGTACTTTAAATGCAGCACCTGCAACTATTACTTGTACAACAGCTCCTTCATATTCAGAAAATAGAGTTGGATATTTATTTGATATAAGTATATCACCTTGTTTGACTACTGCCATTAGTGCTAACTTTTATATTTTGATCTAATTACCAAAATATGATATTGGATTCATTAGAGATTAAAATACTATAACATGTTCACTCACTTCATAATTATATTGTATTCCTTTATTAGGATCTGACTTTATTTTGATAGTTACTTCTGCTTCTGTTCCACTTTCTCCAACTCCAGTATTCAAAATAAGCAATTTATAATGGCCAAGATATGTGGAGGACTTTTCAACTTATACATTGAATTTTCTAATAATTAATAATGTTGGTTTAGGAGTAGTTTAAAAATATCAATTTAACACTCTTACAAATTGTGTACCTTCATAATTTTCAGCAATACAATCTCTTGTATCAAATAAAGGAAAAGGATTTGTAGATGCTACTTATTCTTTTACATTTACACCTTAAGCTGACATTCCTGAAGGATCAACAATTATTGTGGAATTTCCACCTTTTTATGATTTTCTTAATGGTATACATTTACCTACCTTTTAATAGAGTGGTCTTCTTGACTTAAGTGATACAAATAAAGTATCAATATAAATAAATTTAAAATTGATAAAAATCACTGGATTTAAATAATTCAACAAATCAAATTAATTTCAAGTTATAGCTGTGTCTGTGAAGAATTCTCAATCATATAATACAGCATCAGGATTTCATGTATATGTGTTATTTAATGGTAAATATGTATTGTAATAATTGAACTTTTACAGTTTTGATTTTACAACTCCATTTAAGGCAGGGAAAATTGTAATTAATTAAATTACTGCTTCAATTTTAAATGCAGATGAAGAAGTAGATTATCTAATATAATTCACTCCTTAAAATGATATACCTATAGGTGGTTAGATAAAAGTAATGTTTCCGGATGAAAATTATAAAAAACTACCTTCCATTCCAGATTGTCGTGTTAGTGGAGGTATTAATACATTTTAATCTTGCATTCTAAATGGCAAAACTTTTATAATTGAAACTAATAGTAGATATAAAGCAGGTAATGGAGTCATTGATCTTGTCATCAAAGGTGTCTAAAATCCAGATTAAGGAACAACTTAAGGATTTGTTATATCAACAGAATATGATGGAGTAAAATTAGATGGTACAGATGAATCAAATTTAAATGGAAGAACATTTACAGCAGCTTCAAAAACTAATCCAATAATTCTTAATTCACTTGTATTTGATCCAAAAAATGAAGGAGAAGAAGCCTCTTATCGTTTTATATTCCTTCCTTATTCATAATTATCTATTAGTACTTAAATTGAATTCAAATTCCCAAACCAATTTGATCCCTTACTTGGTAGAGATATTTAATGTATTGTTAATTCTGGTTTATCAGGAGGTAGTTATACATGTAGTGTGGATTCTAGAATTGTTACACTCAAAGGTTATGATGCATACACTCCTGAAATTTCAAATCCTATTGATATCACTATCTTTGGTATTGTGAATCCTAATTCTAATGGAGGATCAACTACTGACTTCCTTAAACTCTATATTAGATAATAAGGTAGCAATATTTATGATCAATCAAATAAAGAAATAGCTTAATTGTCATTTCTTGCTGCACCAGGTTGGTCTCCTTTAATTTCCATAGATGTTTCTACTTATAATGTGAGATGGAATTCAACTTATAATTTTACCTTTTAAACATATAAAAATATACCAAAAGTATAGTCAAAAGGATCTGTATTAATAGATTACCCATCTTAATTTGAAATTATTGATGGTTCTATTACATGTTCAAGTACAACTTTATTTGCTGCCACATTAAAATGCTCTTCATATCGTAATAGAATTACTTCTTCTGGTAATTATGAGGATTATGTTGGTCGAATGTATATTTAATTAAAAAAAGTCTTAAATCCTATAGAGAAAGGAGAGAGTGACTTTTTCTACATTAGAACTTATGATGGTCTTAATTTAAGAATTATTGAAAGAAACTTTGCAAATTTAGATCCATTTAAATTTTCATATGAATTTCCTGGTCCACTCATTAAGGTTAATAATGAAAAAACAGTCACTATAGAAAGAGGAACTTAAGCCATAAATATTCCTATTACTATAGAATTTCCATGTTTACTTAATCTTAAATTAATACCATCAGAAAATGAATTCATTGTTAATCCTTCATCTATTCCATTAACACTTGGAATGACATTATAACATTTTAATATTTCTGTTCCATAATCAATATATGATGGAACCTATACAATCTATTGGACTTTAGATAATGAATTAGACCCTCCTCTATATACACCTGTTAAAAGAACATTAATTTAAATAACAAAGAAACAAGGAGTTAAAATTACTTAAACTCCTATTCTTTCAATACCTATTTAAGGATAGTCTCTTTTAACTGAATACATTTTAGCAGCTCCTCCAGATACAGAATTAACATTTAGTTTATATTTACAAAGAACTTATTTTGCAATACAGTTATCAAAAACAGCTATCACAGTAGCAGCTGGATAATAGAAATTTGGATTTGCTGTTGAATATAATAAATCTGTAAATGTTGATGGACCTTAAGTAGAGAGAGGATATATCACAATATAGACTGAAGGAGTGAATAAAAATATTTATAAGTTACCATCTACAAGTGTTGAATTCTTTATTATATCATAAGACACAAAACCTCCTAGTTGGGTGACATGTAAAATAGATAATATAAAAAAGACATCAGTAAATTTATTAGTTGCTTTGAATGAACCCTGTGTTGTATATTATTTGATTGCATTAAAAGGAACAGTATTTCCTAGTTTAGGTGATTTTTAAAATTAAATTATACGTTATTCAAGTACTCAAAGTTAAATGGGTTATTTAATTGCTTATACTGCAGATCTATAATATCAAATTCCTTTATCTAAGTTAATTGCTGAAACTGAATATGTTATACACATTTTAGCTTTAGATAGAGGTAACAATTAGGCAGAAAAAAGAAGTATTGAATTTAAGACTCTTGATAGACCAGTAAGTTGTTACTTTACTTTAATATTTAATTAAAGAACAGTGAGTGATGATTTTATTAGAAATGTAACTGAATCTGTGGCTAAAATACTTGGAATAGACTAATATTATATTCAATTATAGTAATATTATTTTAATAGATTACTCTAAAACTCTTTTGGTATTACTGTTGATGAGATAAAATCATATATTGATTTAGAATTAGCAGCTATTCCTGATAGTGATAGTTTTCCAGATCCTTACGATGTTGTAGCAGGGTTGTAAAATAAAACTTAATTACTTACTTCAAGAATTGAAACATTGAATTTGAGTAAGGAAGTTACAGCTTAAAAATTTACTCGATATGTTCCAAGATTCATAAAATAACCAAAATTAGTTTATATTGATTATTAACAATGTGCCATTTAATTAGCCATAAGTAATTATGGATGGGGTTTTGCTGTTGCAGTTGTTTTTGAATCTTAAGATTAGACTTGGCCATCACCTTATTAAATAATGAAAGGACTTGATTATTAGAATAGGCCAACACCTAATGGATAGATAGAGATTTCAGATCCATATTAAGATTTCATTTTGAGAATACATGGATTGGAAAGTGAAACAGATTATTATATTTATGTAATTGGAGGTTCAGTTCGTAAATGATTTTTATTTATATTAATAGATTTCCGAGCACCTGATTTGATGGATAAATCTGAGATTTATTAAGATAGAATAATCTCATTTAGATCTCCTTAGAAGCCTAAATTAAATATCAATTTTGGAGATTTGATTATGATGAGCATATTGATTTTTTGGTTATGAGTACATATATAAGTTATAATTGATAACATAGATATTTTTGATTAATTTAAATATGCTCATATCTGGAATGCAATTGAGGCATTCGCTGACTCCTCGTTTCTTTGCAGGAGTATTCAACAAGCGTAAGCCAACTAAGAAGGATTTAGACCATTATGATATAGTGGTAATTGGTTGCAATTTAGGAGGAGTTTTGAGTAGACAACTTGATAAGGTAGATTTGTAATGTTATATCGGGATAGGTTTCTCATGGAAAATATAAGATTATGGTTGTACTTGATTAGAATATCAATCAAATTACTCCAATTAGATAGATCTATGAATAATAGAAGACAGCAAAGACAGATTTCTTGCTTAATGCCAAATTATCACTTAACATGTACACTGCCCATTCAGATTAAGTTGGATGTTAAACAATATTACCTGAAGAGAATGCCATTGTTTTGCGTAATGGTCGTAGAATTGGCTATAATTAATTGGTTGTTGCTATGGGTATAATCCTAACAATATTCCAATAGGTCAACAAGTCAATTACAATGCTATCAAAGGATTTGAAGATGCATGGTAAGATTTCGATTCTCCAGTCTTCACTAATCTTGATCATCCAAGTTGGAGATCCTCTAATCATAAATATACTAGATGGCATTACAATTTCAATCATGGTGAAGCATATTTCTGTATTCCTCAATTTCCATTCAGTGGTGAAGTTGAATCTTATAACTTTTTCTTAAGTCAAAGAATTTGGGAATGGTAAACAGCAAATGGACGTCAATCTCCAATAAAAAAATTCACTATCATCTAACCTAATGAACGCTTTGTTCAATATAATGATGCTGGAGATTCTTTTTTCAAAGAAGAATTAAAACGCAGAAATATTTACGTTGAATATGGACTCAAATTGGTTGAAGTCAATAAACAATACAATACTGCAACTTTTGAGGATGTTAAGACTGGAAATAGACAAACTAGAAATTTCAATCATCTTTATGCTGTTGCTCCAACAAAAGCTCATGAACCATTAGTCAAGGCTGGATTAACAACATCAAAAGGATTATTGGATGTTAATATTAAAACATTGTAACATAATAAATACAAGAATATTTTTGGACTTGGTGATGTTAATGATCTTCCAACAACAAATTGTTTCTGGGCTGGATTCCATTAACTTCATGTTGTTAGAAATAATATTGAAAGAAATATTGCTGGAAAATCACTTAATGCTGAATATGATGGATATAGCAAAGTTCCAATCATATTAGGTTAAAATACACTCACATTCTTATGTCATAAATACAATAATGAAAATGCATGGCATAACCTCTACTTCTCTAATGGAGGATTCTTGGCTGCTTTGAGGTAATTATTTATATTAATGTAAAAGATATTATAATTGGTGCAAGAATTTCAAGAAGGCCTTTATTGATATTTATTTAGAAAAGAATTGGGGACCTCCCTATTACAAAATTAAGAAGAGTTTCAAATTGCCTGAAGGAGAAAATGATGATCATGGATTCTTATCCAAATTGTTACCAGGCAAGAAGGAAAGTCATCATTGATATAAATAAATAATATAAAAAATATAATAATGATTAAATTATTTGCATAGAAGTTTATCCAATTACAAATATAACCTCTATATGAATTCAATAGATTTGCAGATAAATTATAAAAGAAACAATAAGACAATTAAAAATAAGAATTCAAAAAAGAATTAGAATTCTTAGCTAGCAAAGTATATTAATAATTGCATATAGCCACAATTTACACTTATTGATTTTAGATAAAGAGCACTTGATGGATTACACAAATTAAAAAAGGGATTCAAGTATTAAATTTCTTCAGGTAATGAAGAGACTGAATAACAATTGACACTATAAAGATAAGTCTTAAATGCTATGTTTGATGAAGAATTGTTGAATCCAGATGATTTGACTGGAGATGTATATATGGTATACTAATAATAAGTAAAAAAAAGAAATAGCTATGGTTGCATAAGTGGAAGTACAATAAGTCAATTTTGTATTGAGTCAATATGGTTAAATAAGGAATATGCATTCATGGGTAAGAGATATGAAAGAGAGAGGAGAACCTATGCCTGATAATTAAGAAGATATGATGTATAGATATAAGAGAGACAAACCAATAAAGAAATCATTTATTAAATTTGAAATGAAAAGATAAAATTTCTCTATGAAATAAAGATTATAAAAGTTGAAATGGGGTCCTCGTAAAGAAGTTTGATATTTTATCTATGTACAATTATAAATAATTTAATATTTATGAATATCATTATTATAATTGATCATAATGTGAAAACTAACATGATAAAACTAGCCACTAATAGTTGAGCATATGTAATAGTGTCATTTTTGTAGTTCAAGTCAGTAGTTACATTAGTTGTTTATCCATAAGCATACTATTAAAAATATATATATAATATATACTCCAGCATAAGGTTAGACTGATTAGAAGCAACGATTTTAGATCATATGGAATCCATATTTGCAAATAGAACATCCAGAAGATGAATAAGGTTTATCAGTTGCAATTGTTGAATTCAATTTTACAGCACAATTTGCTTAATTAAGAGGAACACAACCTCCTTATTAGAAGACATATCCATCAATACAAGTTAAACAAACTTAACCAGGTGATGCACATGTAGCACAACCAAATTAACAAGCAACACAAACTGCTTATGCAGTCTTAATACCAGAATAAGGGAAGTAACCATCCATACAAGTTTTGCAAGACTAAAAATTAAATTTAAAATTACTGTTGAATTATCACATGATGCACAATTAGTTTAACATGGTTAACAGGCTGCTCCTTATAAGTAATAACCAATATTGCATTTAGTACAATTAGTATTGGAAGAACATTCTAAACAACCACCACTTGCAGAACATGTTGCACAAGTTGCACTAGATGCTGCACTTGCTGCTTATAAGAAATATTTTTATGAGCATCCAGAACATGTAATTTCAGTAGAAGATGATCCATTACATTTATTACATTATGCAGAGAGTTATACTTTTGCTCCAGCTTAAGGAGGACATGATAAACAAGATCCACCTTCATATGAATTGAAATTTTTAACACATGTAGCACAAACATTATTTGTATTAGTAGATGTGCTAGTCAAAGTCAAACATGCCTGTATTTGTACAGCAGCTATACATGTTGGAGTAGAAATATTATTTGTAGTAATATTGACTAAAAAGTATCCATCTACACATTAAGTAACTTAAACTGTTGAATATGATGGAGTATCATTTGGACCTCCACATCTTAACCATCCAGTTGATTATGGATATGAATTACAAGCTGAACAACTTACTACACCATTACTATCCTTTATTCCATAATAAAATTCTTAGCATTTTGTACATGAAACAGTAGTATTATTTATTGTACATGCTGCACATCCAGTACCACATGGAGTACAAGTTTTTGGAGTTTAAGTATTTAAAACATATGTACTAATACAAGATGTACAATTTTAATTATTATCCATTTGAGTGCAACCATCAGGTAATTTTTAACAAGTTGTTGAACCTATCAATACATATCCAAGTGCACATGCTGAACATGATGTTCCATTTGAACATTTTATACAAGTAAGACTTGGTAAACATGATGCACAAGTCTAAAATTAAATATATTTTTTATTTATACTGTTACTCCATTAACTGTACTAAGATAGTAACCATCTAAACATGAAGAACAATTTGAACCATTAGTGCAACTTGTACAATAATCTAAACATCTTTAACATGTTCCAGATCCATCTGTTGTTGATCCTGTTGTCAATCCACTGAATGACCAGAAATATCCACCAGCACATTATGTGCAAGTGTTTCTATATAATAATATTTAATTAATACAATGATTGACAATTTTAACATCCTGCAATACCACATGGACTGCAGAAACCATCGAAATAATTGTAGTATTAGTCTGATGAGCTTGATACTGAGGGAATATAATCCCAATTTAAGAAATATCCAGCTTTACATTGAGAACATACATATCGAGTACTACTATATACTGAGCAGGCTTAATTCTCAATACATACTCCAGCAATCAAACTGAAACCTGAGTCACATTTACCACACACATATGCATTTGCTTCTGTGTTTAATGAGTAACTCAAACATCCATTTGGCATATTCACACATATTCTAAATGTATATGAAAATTCACTACCCATTTAGCTATGTCCATCCTGGACTACAAGTTAAAGATCCAGTTGAGTAATAATCTGTACACTGATAATAACCTCCCTCTATTGGTTGACATGGTTAGCATGATTGTCCAGCCCAATAGTAACCTTTTATTTAATATAGAATAATACCATTCATGCATTAGTATGCTTGACGAGTGGATTAACCAACTTTCAAAGCACCAGTTGCTAAACAACTTAAATATGTGCAATCTAAAGGTGGTGATTATTATCCAAAAACTCCAATTAGTAGAATTGAGGCGATGAGTACTTTATTCATTATTATTAAAAAAATTATTAATCAAGATATATTTTATCTATTCCCTTAAAACTACGATTATTCCATGCCCCTCTTCTCAAATTTGTGCTTTCAAAAATAGTTTCATATCAGAATCCAGTAATTATCCACATTCTTTCTTTTGTTCCAAAACAAATCACCTGAATCAAACATCCTCTCTAGCTTAACCTACTAATTGAATGAATAAGCTATAATTATTAATAAAGTAGTAAATATTTAATAATAATAATAGCATATTCACATCTACTAAAAAAATTAAATTCATTATTTATGATAATTAAATATCCTCACAATAAACTATGAATTAATCTTATTTGTTTCTTAATTGATATAGTTTGTAATTATTTTTAATATTTACAAATATAATGTTGTTCTAAATAAGAATACATAAAAATTGCAAAATTAATATTAATTTTTACAATTGTTAAAATTTAAATTGATTCCTTACTTTTTTCTTTAAAACTGTGATCACTTTTAAATATTATTCATATAAAAATGGAAATTTGGAAATCATTATTTTTATATAAATAAATTATTTTTTAATAAATTTGTATTTTATTCTAATATTAGTCCTTTATAAATATTCTACATAAAAAAGAATTCACTTATCAAATTTGAATTTCATTGTTTCAAACTTTTTTTGTATTAAAATAATTCTTATTTTATTCAGAATATTGGTTTTTTAATAATTATTTTATAATAAAAATCATATGAGTCTATAGTAATAAATAATTCAAAAAATTAAAGATTTATATAATAGAAATAGTATACACAAATTATAAAATAGAACTACATCTGATTTTATTTAAATGAGAAAATAGAATAATTTTCACAACTATATAGAAAATAGTTCAAATTGTACTTTAAAAGAATACGTTATTAAAATAGTATAAGAATAATCCAACTCTAACTCTTTTTTTTAATTCTAAACCTTTTTAAAAATTTTTATTTTAATTATGTTAAGAGTTTAATTAATATAAACTATATTTAATGATAAAGTTAAATGTAATAAAATCACAACTATCAACCTAATTATTTGATAATAATCTATCTTCAATCAATAGAATGTTATGGTTGATTATTTTAATGCTATTTTTGAAGTTTTGCTAACAAATTGGTTTCATCTATTTAAATTTGTTTTTTTGTATTTAAATGCTTTGTCTCATCTAAATCTTACAATTATATAATATATGGGATTGTTTGTTATAGTAGTAGTACTAAGAATAATAAATATTATGGAGACTTTCTTGTTAATCAAATAAAACATTTATTCCATAACAAGAAAAATGTTAATTTTATAGAATATGAATAATTTTGGAAAATATCAATAATGTTTGTTCAAGAGAATCATTGAGGAGTTCAAAAGGAATCAAATAGATCATATACAAAGAATCAGGTGTTTCATAGAGGTTATGTAAAAGTTATTCATTTAAATATTATTTTCAATAGATTATATCAGAAAGATTTTAGAATAATATTCATATAGTTTCAGATTCTTAATTTTTTGAACAATTAAATATGGATATTTTTCTATATTTCATCATTGTTGCAGGGATTTTGCAGTCAGAAGCCATAATTATCAATTAGCCAGGAAATTCAATACAAAACTAAATAGTTGAAGCTACTTAATATGCTTGCAAATAAGGCTATTTTTTTAATGGGTAAATTTGTAGTGAATGTCGATCAATTGAAAATGGTTTTTGCACCTGTTAAAAGTATAGTGAATGTGATTAAATATCATGTGGGCCTGGATATTATTTGGTTGGAAGGTATTGATTAATTAAGTATTTTTTAGCTCTTGTGTGTAACACCCAGATTCAAATTGTCTGAAGGGAAGCTTGAGTTCTGATGGAAGTACAGTGATCTGTCTTCAATGTAGTAGTCAATCAACATTAATGGGTATATTTAGTAGAGACTATTTTAGGTGGAATATGCATAGCCAATAATAATTGCTAATAATTTGATAGTTTAACTGGAATCTGCAAATAATGTTAGAGTGGATATTTTATTTCTGTTGGTTTAGGGTATGAGGATAGTTAGACTGTAAGCAGTACATATTATCAATCAGTTAATCAATGCAAATAATGTTAATCTAATTGTCTATAATGTTAAAATGAGTAATAAGATATTATTATTTAGATAATCATGTACTGTTTGTAAAAGTGGATATTTTGTATAATAAAATTAATGTTATTAATGTGTGAATTATCTGTCACATTGTTTAACATGTGATACAGCATCAAAATGCACTTCTTGTGATGGTGAGTATTATTTAAATATAAATAATTGTTAGAATTGTTCATTATAGATAAACAATTGTTCAACCTGTTCACTTAATTAATATAATTCATTGATTTGTTCAAAGTGTAAGATAGGATCATATTTAAACAATAATTAATGTCCATTATGTTCAACATCAATATCATATTGTTAATAATGTTAAAATTCTACAATATGTCAGGTTTGTTATAAAGGATTTTATTTAAGTTCAAATAGATGTAAGATGTGCTCAGCTTCAATTTCTAATTGTTTATTTTGCTCAGATTCTAATACTTGTTAGACTTGTGCAGAAGGTTATTATTTATAAGGAAATGTATGTATAAAATGTTCAATTTCTCTTTCTAATTGTGGTACTTGTTCTAATTCTTAAAATTGTACAGGATGTTTAATTGGTTATTATTTAGATCATAATAACATTTGTTAAATTTGCTCTGGATCTATTAATAATTGTAGTATTTGTACTAACTCTTCAAAATGTGATAAATGTAAAACTGGATATTATTGGGATAATACTTATTGTTAACCTTGTACTGATTCAAATTGTACAGAATGTTCAAATAATTCAAATTGTTCAACATGTTTAATAGGGTTTTCAACAGATGGTAGTAAATGTACTACATGTACTACTGTTACTTGTACTACATGTCCAGCTTAAAGTTATCTTTAAGCTGGATCATGTTTAACTTGTTCATTTGAAATGAATGGATGTTCAAATTGTGGTTATGAGGGTAATAATTTAAAATGTTTTAAATGTTTGGCAGGACATGATCAACCTATTAATAATGTATAACCTTGTTAAGCTGATTCTGGTGCTAATTGTAATTCTACATAATTTCCTTATGGTGATTCATGCAAAAGTTGTAGTTAAGGAATAGCACATTGTGCAGAATGTTCCTATTAAAATTAGTAATTGGTTTGTACAAAGTGTAATTCAGGTTATGATTTAGGAGGATCATGTGAACCTTGTTAAAGTTCTTCTTCAGGATCTGGATCAGGATCTGGTTCTGGTTCTGGTTCAGGATCTTCATCACCTGAGTGTTAAAAATGTGCTTCAGGAACATATTTAGATAATGTTTCAACAACATGTAAATCTTGTTCTGGAATTTAAAATTGTTCTACTTGTTCTAATAGTTCAACTTGTACACTTTGTAATACAGGTTATTTTTGGAATAATTCATCATGTATTTTATGTGCAAAAACAATTTTTAATTGTCTTACATGTTCTAATAATTAGACTTGTACATAATGTTAACCTGGATTTATTTTAGATGGAAATAATTGTACTCCATGTTCTTATTTTATAACAAATTGTTTAGTTTGTAAAAACAATTCAAGTTGTTTAGAATGTACTCCAGGTAATTACCTTAATACATTAAGTACTTGTTCATCTTGTGATGATCCAAATTGTATTAATTGTAATTAATCATCTTCTAAATGTACTGCTTGTGCTTCAGGAACTTATTTAAATGGAAATTAATGTTATACTTGTTCAATTATTAATAAATGTGTTGCATGTTCAAATAGTTAAAAATGTATAGCTTGTTAACCTGGTACATATTTGAAAAATGATTAATGTTAAACATGTGATGATTAAAATTGTACTTATTGTAATTCATCATCTATTTGTTAATCATGTATAGCAGGTTATTATTTAAATAATAATAATGGATGTTCTTAATGTCCAATAGGTTGCACATCTTGTTAAAATAACATATAATGTAATTCATGTGGAATAGGATATTATTTAGATGGTAATACATGTACAAATTGTACAAATTCATTAACTAAATGTTTAGCATGTATAAATGATTCAACTTGTACAAATTGTGAAATTGGAAATTATCTTGATGGAAATAGTTGTACAAAATGTCCAATTAGTTTGAATTCTTGTAATGCTTGTAAAAGTAATACAATTTGTATTGCATGTAATTCTGGTAGTTATCTTAATGGTTCATAATGCAGTAATTGTAATGATATTAATTGTCTTAATTGTACTGATGCAAATACTTGTACTTCTTGTGCTCCTACATATATTGTAATTAATAATGCATGTACAAAATGTATAGGATATTCTGATAAATGTACATCTTGTTTTAATGGATATTGTAATAGTTGTATCAATAATTATTTAATATAATCTGATGGAACATGTCTAAAATGTCCAGATAATTGTTCTTAAGGTTGTGCAAAAAATACATTATAAAATACTAATCCTACTATTTGTTAAGTTTGTTAAGATCAATATTATTTAAATAGTAATGGATTATGTATTAAATGTTCAAGTACTTTTTTAAGATGTAAATATGATGTTGATACATAATAAGTATATCCAACTTAATGTATAGATGGTTATTTTTTAGTTAATAATTAATGTATTAAAGCATAAGATGAAAATACATGTTAAAAATTATATTAATCTAATGATGGAAATTAAATTGATTCTTAATTATGTTAAGATTGTTGGCCATCTTATTAATAAAATAATTAAATATGTTATAAATGTCCATATTGTGCAGATAATAGTTGTTCATTAGATTAAAATAATAAACCTATTTGTAGTTTATGTGTTAATTATTATTATAGTGATTCTAATTCTATTTGTTAATTATGTGTTGCTAATTGTATTCAATGCAATGCTGCAGGTATTGAAAATTGTCAATAATGTGATATTGGATATTATAAGAGTTCAAATGCTTGTATTGCTTGTACTACAGATAATAATAATAAATCTACTTGTTTGAATTGTACAAATGAAAATACTTGTGCTACTTGTTAAAATGGTTATTATGAATCTAATGGATAATGTTTAGCTTGTTAATATGGTTGTAATTAATGTGTCTCTCCAGGTAATACTTGTATTGCTTGTATTACTGGTTTCTATTTATAAAATGGAGGTTGTGTCAAAGATTTAGGAAATTGTTTAGAAAAATAATAAAATTAAAATAATGGTTGTTAAGTTTGTGCATATGGTTTCTATCCTACTAAAGGTTGGCTATCACAATCAGGTTAATCATAAGTAATTGATACAACCTGTTTATAATGTGTCTATCCATAAGCAGCAGTATATATTATTTATTATTTATTAATTAGTTTGTTTGTAGAGCTAATCCCTCAGACAATTAAGTTGTAAGTGCTTCCTATGGATCTATATCTTCAATTAAAAATACAAATTATTATAAGTCTGCTACTTCTTTAGGACCAATTAGATATACAACTCCATAATGTAAACTTGGATCATTTTGGACATAATAAAGTTGTATGCCTTGTCCAACAATAAATAATGGAATGTGTCTTACTTGTAATAACTTTACAACTTGTACTTAAATTTAATGTAATGTTTAATATCAATTAATCACAATCAATAATAATTAATAATGTGCATAAATACCTTTAGGATGTACAGAAATATAGTATTCAGATTAAATGATGTCATTAGCATGTACTAAATGTAATTCTGGATATACTTTAATTGGTAACATTTGTATTTCAATTAATGGATGTTTGAATATTGATTAGAATAATGGAGCTTGTACTTAATGTACTAATGGATATTACTTTAATTGGGATTTCTTATTATAAAATCCAAAGACTTCATTATCTACTAATACATATTATTATCAAAATTTCAATCCATTTTGTAGTAAATGTAATACAGGTTGTGCTATATGTCCATCATAATATACTTGTACTGAATGTTTACCTGGATACTTTTGGTATTAATCAACACTTACAATAAATTCATATACTTTTAAAACTTATACAAATGCATAAACAAATGCTTCAGGTTAATGTGTTCCTTGTCCTAAAAATTGTTCAACTTGTTCAAGTTCAACTATTTGCACAGCCTGTAATACTAATTTTACTATAGATCCTAATTCTACTAATGGTGATTGCATATGTTCTTCACCTTATACTTATAATTAAACTCAATAAACTTGTATTCTAATACCTTCTGTTAATTCTACTTGTTCTTTTGTAGGATGTATTTAGTGTAATTCTGATAATACTTAATGTTAAACATGTAGTCCTTAATATGCATTAACAAGTCCAACTACATGTACATAATGTTTGAATTGCAACTAATGTTCTCTTTAAACTGGAACTTCTAATCCAACTTGTTTGGAATGTGCTGATGGATATTATAAAGTATAAGCAAATGATGGAGCTCCTATCACCTGTTAATTATGTTCTCAATCCTTAAATAATTCCTTAAGATGTTAAGGTATTTTAGAAAATTAAACTCAATTAACCATAATTTAATGTGCTGATAATTACTTTTTATTTGGAAATGCTTGTTATTAAGTTGGAAACTCAAATTGCTACACCATTGCTAATCCTAATAGTCAATCTTGTCAATAATGTCTTCCTGGATATACATTATATGGAAATAATTGTGATCAATGTAATACTAAAATACTTAATTGTTTGACATGTATTTAGAGTTAAGATTAAAATGGATTAATTTGTTAATCATGTATTAATGGTTATGTTTTAAATACTAATACAAATTCATGTTAATAATGTCCCAATGGATGCTAAAAATGTACAATTACTGGTACTATTACTCCATATATACTATCTTGTAATACTTGTGCTGATGGAAACTATATTGATAGTAATGGAAATTGTTAAGGATGTCCATTTGATTGCAAATCATGTGATTCAAAATATGTAATAAATATTTAATATTTAGATTTGTAATACTTGTAATGATGGATATTATTTAGTTCAATCTTCCGTTATATTAAATTCCAAACCATATATATTTAAACCTTGTTATCCATGTTAAAATAATTGTGCTACTTGCACAGGACCCACTGGCAATATTTGTTAAACTTGCAAAACTGGCTTTGTACTTCAAAATGGAGGCTGTATTGATTTAACCTTAAAAATTCTAAATGACTCCACTTCATACAATTTGGCCAATTGTTATACGTCAGATTCTACTGGTTGTACAGTATGTTTAGCTGGATTTTTCTTAGATTCATAAAGAGTTTGTTAAGAATGTGTTTCACCTTACAATAATGTATAAATTTTATTACAATATCCCTAGTTTGTTTGTGGCCTTAAAGCAGTCTCTCCGACTTCACCATCAAATCCTTCAAGTAACTAAACTAATACGAATACAAATACAAATACAACCACTGACTCTATTTAAATAGGTTACAATCCAACTTAGCCAAGCAGTCTAAGTTTAATATTAGCAACAATGCTTATTTTTATGGTATAATGAGATATTCAAAAAAATAAGTTATAATGTTATATGAAATATTTTATTTAATGCTCATCTGCTTGTTTTAACATACATTAATATATTTATTATCAAATTTTATTGTTTTATTAAAATGATATGTAAGTTTATTCAGATATATTAATATTTATTTAAATAATTAAAAATAAATAATATATACAAAAAATTAAATATTATTCAGCAAAAACTAATAGGTAAAATTAGATTAAAATGATAATTTATATTTATAACAATTGTTATTCATTATATAGATTTAATAATTATAAATTATTTATTTGTCTAAAATAAAATCTTAATTTATTTTAATATATATAAATAGAATTTAGGACTTGTTTAGATAAGTACATATAATTATTAATAAAAAAACAAATAAAAAATCTAAAATTTAAAGAGTCATAAAAGAATTTTGTAATCTACTAAGATTTTTTTCTCTAATCTACACAAATATTATAAATATCAATTATTTTTATTATCAGATTTTGATGAAAATAATCTGCTAATTATCTTAGCCTATGGTTTTCTTTACAAAAAAGATCGGCCTTTACTCTAAGAGAATCCTTACTAAGTTCCTTAATTTGGAGAATGAATTTAAGGTAATACATCTTGAGATTCAGCATTATTTAACTTATACTAAATTTTGCCTTATATTTATTAACCACCCGATTCTCTCATAGTTTCTTAAGCAGTTTTTGATTTTCTCATTAAAGAATCTTCGGGTTAAGTATATATTATTTCATTTCCTGGTATTGTTTATTTTGATGAGTTAGTTCTTATTGCAGTATCTTGTTATGAGATAGGTCCATACCCATAAGGAATATTTTTGGCTTATTACAATTTAGGTTAGATTTAAGGGAGAAATGCAGTGGAATTACTTTTTTTCAAAAGGTCATTTAAATTCTAACGATTATTGAAACGCTCTGATTCAAGTAGAGACTTTTTATAACTAGGAAAGTCCATTTAATCTGATGATAATCTTGTTATATTGTCTTATTCATTTTATTTAGTATGAAATTAGACTCTAACAGCAGAATCAGCAGTATTGGATGATCCTTCAATTTTTTATCGAAGCACACGTGAACTTAAAATATTTTTATTTATTGGTTTTGGAAGTTATGCTTCTTTTTATTAATTTATGTGTATGAATTCATCACGTATGTCTGTTTCTTTAATTCGTTTGATCTATTCTTGATAAGTAACTTTATTGCGTGATTCATAGAGTTATGGAGGAGATTGTGGCTTTTAACTAATACCTTTTATAACTTTGACAGGAGAACTAGATATAGGATGAGTTTGTACGTGATTTTTGATGGTTAAGCATTAAGCTTGTTTTGTGTAAATTATCCATTATTTCTTTTGCTTAGACTCTACTGAGAATCATGTTGAATAAGACGAGTTTAAGCAGGCTTAAATGTTTATTCCATTTGTGGTCTTCCTGATCCCTTAGAACTAGTTATGGAATTTTTAAGTGTTGATTAGTTAGGATTGAAAAAAGTGGCTGTTTATTTGAATGCATCTTAAAGTCTAGAATCATCAAAATAGTCCTAATATTCATATTATTCATAATGATTCATTATTTTAAATTATATATAAAAAATTTAGTATAATAAAGTTGAAATGTTAATAAAAGAGATTTCAATTAATCTGAAATTCAATTAATTTATACTGAAAAAGTGAGCAAACTTTCCTTTAAAAATATATATTAATGTTTAAGTATATTCTAAGAAATTAAAAAATGAATTATAATAATGATAACTAATAAGTTATAGTATATTAATACTAATTATAGAGTATAGTTGAATCAATTACTTTTGTTTTAAATTTCTATAAATTTCAGTAAAGTATTAATTATTTTTAACAATTGCTAATTTATAGTAAAAACTATTTATTTATTTACTTTTCAATTATTATTTTTAAAATGATTTCTATTTCTATTTAAGAATATTTGCCAATATCTTGATAATAATTTCTAATAATGAAATTGATCTACATTAATTATTTGGATAAAATATCATTATTATCTTAACTTTAATAATTATAATTTTTTGGTTATGTTAATTGGAATAACTTTTAATAGATATATTAATAAAATAAAATAGAGTCACAAACATTAAAGAATTCTATTTATATATGTAATAGACATTATTCATAAAGATGATTCAAATAATCACATCTTGTATTCTATTGTTATTTATTTATAAGCTTATTTTTTTATATCTAAATCCTGATTTATTTCTTAAGCATAATTATTTCTTTTTACCATATCTATAATGAATCATTAAAGTTTTTATAAGTTTGTTTTTAATTTAATATTATTGATAGATCTGTCGATGGTGTAATTACTGCTTTTATTTAGTTCTTTCTTTCAAAATATATTTACTTCAGCAGATATATGATTATATCAAATTTCTATTCACATTATTTAATTCTCACTTATTTTATTAAGAATAAAAAAACAATAATTTATTTTAGAAATGAAAAGTTTAGGGTATAGCTAACTACAATTGAGTTAGAAAATCATTAAAACAGAAGGAGATGATTCAGAAATGCTTTTACCAGAATCAGATAAGGATGAACTAGGATAAATATTAAATACAGAAGAAAGCAGAGGAAAGCCAATGAAAGAACTTAGATTTAGTCTAAAGAATCAAGTTTGGATATTTGATAGGAATCAAAAGAGGCATCAATCATATAAATCACCTTCACCGGTTGGAACCAAATCTTCACCTTCCATTTTAAAAAATAAAAATGCAATAACGAAATAATTAAATGATGACATTATTATTTAAACTAATTAACAACAATGAATCTTAAATTAAATTTAAATGCTAAACATTATCTTTAGAAACTAAATGCATTTTTATATAATCATAAAAATTATTTTTAGACTATTAATATGAGAATAGATTAATAAAATAATTAATAATTGTCTTTCAATTTATTTAAAAGTTTAAAATCAATTCGATTTTTTTATTTGTTTTCTTAATAACAATTATTAAACTTCAATTTGCATATAATTTTGATCTATTTTTTCTTTGTTTTTTTTAAAAATTGTTATTGCCTAAAATTCTGATCTAAATTCATTCTAAATAAATAGAATATTACATCATTACTTAATGTAAACCTATTAATAATTAAGCTAATAATTTTGGTTTGATATTTTCTTTTAATTATTCCCATAATAAATCTATTTTTGATGCCTCATTCTATATAACTTTAATTTCTTATTTTATTTTTTTAAATGAACTAAATTAATTAAATTTCTAACTTTGTTATATTTTATTTTGATTATCCTATCTTTAATTTAATTTTCTCATTATTAGAATAATTTTCTGGTTTCATTTCAATATTTCTCAAAATATCCTTTAAAAATTCAGAGACATTTCTAATTTATTATATAAATACTTATAATTTTAAGAAAAGAAATCTCTATCATCTAAAATACTGAACAAATATTTTGTTTATATTGGTAAAGAGACATCCAATATTTAATATGAATATGATTTTGCTGCATCAATTCTCTCTTATTTATTAGAAGATGTTCTATATTTCAATGCATCTAAAAGAATTTCTATTTCTGTATCATCCTTCCCTTATGTAATACATTCTTCTAACCTTTCAAATAATTTTTATTATTAATTTAAAAACACTTAGAACTAAATTATATGATTTATAAATAATACCTTATCTTATTATCTACTATAAGTTTCAATTGATTTTTATAAATTATTACATTATTCTCTTAATTTATCATTTTCATCCTATAAGTCTTTAACTCTTATCTCTAAGAGTTCAAAATAAATCTTCTTTCTTGCCCTTGAATTTCTTGCAGATTCTCTATTTCTCACTTATTTAAGCCTATTTGGATCTAAATTTCCATAATTAATTGAATCTGGATTCTCAGATGATGATTGATCACTATGTTCAACATTAATATTTAATTGTTATTCATTTTTTCTTTCTATTTTCTATTAACTTCTCCTAAATCAAATCAATAAAAATGAATACGATTATCTTATTTTTTAAGTAACAATCAATTAATTATTTATATCTTTCTTAACTAAATTTTATATTTTATTTGAATAAATGCAATTTGTCTAAGATATAATTTCAGATTGTAATTATTCTTTCAATTTATTTTAATGTTTTTTTGTTTATTTTCCTAACAACAATAAATTAACTATTTACTTTTACTCTAATTCCTTTGATCATTTTAACTTCCGTCTCTTGAATTATCCCCATCACTTCCACTTCTTGGTTAACCTTCAAATGAACTATCATTTCTTATGTGTAATCTATCCATTCGTAAATTTTCTAATTAAATGACTTTAGACATTTAATCAGTGCCTTAATCTATATCTTCAAAAATCTATATTTTAGGAAGCTATTATTCTTGCTACACTTAGGTAGATGGATCAGGCAATTAAAAAACTACTAAATTCTAATTAGCATCACATGATCTAATATAATAGTATTAAATTGTTACTCTTCATAAAAATATTGCTCTTGAATTAATGAATCACTCATAAATTATTAGATTTAAATAAAATAAAATTATATCAATTATTTATTCAAACCAAAAATTACAAGATGATGGAAATTATTTTATTTTAGTTTTATATTTATCAGTAATTTGCGTAAGATTAATTAAATTTATCATCATTCATTTAAAATGACAACATAATTATATAATTAAAAAAATTATTTAATTCTTAATTAAATTTAAATTAAAATATTAACATTTATAGTTTATCTGAATTCTCATCATATTATTCAATAATAATAACATTCACAATTATAATCTATTGAAGAATAATCTAATATATTCTGAGATTAATTTTTAAAACTTATTAATTTTACTTTAAATAATGAATCATATTATTTTAATACTATTTATATTTTACTTAAGTTATTTTTTAAATTTCTAATATTTTTATGAGAAATAAACTCAAAAACTATTTATATATATATAATAAAATGATCAA